GCCACCCAGGTGCCCCAACACTTACTTAGCTTTTAATTTTAGTATTTTTCAGAAGTTTTATTTGGACCTCTTTCAAACTGCTAGGTAACTTTTATTGTTTCTTCCCTGCAGATATTTTCAAGCCTATCTTTTATTTCTAAAATCAGAAGTAGCACTATTTTCTAAAAATAATCAGGGTTTGATAATTCTGGTATCTGAGAACTGTGTATCTGTTTTTGCTGTTATTTTCTTTCTTCCTCCTATTGATCTCATACACATTTGATTATATTTAACTATGTGCTGATCACTGCTTTGAAAAATTATTCCTAAGGACTTCCTGGGGCTAAGAAAGAGGAGTCTGCCAGAGAGAATCTACACTTGCCTCTGCCAACTACTTTGTAGTATGACCCATTCCAAAACCATTTTAAAGTAGGGATTTCTTGGTTGACTCATTAATGGAAATTTGAACTGAAAATCAATTTGCAAGTCCCTACGATGGTCAGGCTATCTTACAGATAGAGAAGTTTTGTTTTGTTTCTGTTTTGTTCAGGACTAAGGCAACTCTTCCCCATGGTGTCCTATGTGGGGAAGAGGAAAGTTTTCCTCCATTTACTTTGAGGCTGTAACCCATGGAGGAGGATTTCATTTCATCTCCCTCCCAGAGGCAAGGCTTTGATTTATCTTCTTCTCACAAGCTATTAAAACTTCACTTGATTTTTGACTTGGCTTTGATTTCTCTTTATTCTCTCACAAAGCTATCAAAACTCAATTTTGTCAGGATTTGTCCTCAGACAAAAGTAGATGCTGAGCTATGCTTACGTTTCTGGTTTCTTTCTTTTTCTTAGCTTTTGGTTCAGAAAGATCATTAACATTCACTAATTTCTAATTTTCAAAACAAACAATAAAATACTCAATCCCAACAAATTCCACTTCTGCATATATGTCCAAAAAATTAAAAACAAGGAGTCAAACAAAAAGAAAGGAAAAGAAAAAGGAAGGACTCAAACACATATTTGTATACTCATGTTCATAGCAGCATTATTCACAATAACCAAAAGGTGGAAGCAACCCATATGTTCACCCAGGGATCAATAAAGCAAAAGAAAGTATTCTAAACATAAAATAGAATATTATTCAACCTTAAAAAGGAAATGCTGACACATGCTACAATCTGGATGAAACTTGGTGACCCTATGCTAAGTGAAATAACCCAGTCACAAAAGGACAAATACTGTAGGACTATGTGAGACACCTGCAGTAGTCAAATTCACAGAGAAACAAAGTAGAATGGTGGTTGCCAAGGAATGGAAAGAAGGAAGAATGAGGAGTTACTGTTTAATGGGTATGGAGATTCAGTTTAGAAAGATGAAAAAAAGTTCTGGAGATGGATGATGGTGACTATTGCACAACACTGTGAATGCACTTAACTGCCATTAAACATAAAAATGGTTACAATCGTAAGTTCTATTTTATGTATGTTTAATCAGGATTTTAAAAACTCTTGTTCAAATGATTAATTTTCTTATCTTTGTATTTACTTAAATACATAAAATGACTAGTATTTATATGGTTAATAGGGACATTTTCAGAAAATGCTTTCTAGTTGAGTCAAATCTGAAAAACATTAAATTCCTTATTTTTGAAAACCTTTGATTTTTAAAGTTTTTTTTTTTTTTTTACATTTACATGTGAAGAAAAAAAAACAATGCTGAAAAATGGCAAAGATACAAGAACTAAATTTAGGCCTCATTTGACATTTATTTACTCCCAGGATCAAAAGGCTTATAAATAGATACATTTCACCTTCCTTCCATACAGATATCTTTAAACCAAAGCTTTTCCATGTATTACTGTAATATAAAAATGTGTCTCCAATTAATTTTCAAAATCTATCATAATATTCTCAAATATGAGTACTAAAATATCTGTTAAACTTACAGATTTTCACTATTATGCATTTGCTTATTTTATAAAAAGTTAAATTACAGAATGCTTTTAAATTTTTAACTAGTTTTACAAATATCAATTATGTATCTTTTGCAATATAGTTAAAGGGTTAAAAAAAAAAACACCACAACAACTTAGAAACCACAAAACATCATTCTCCAGTCTGTTCATGTTACAAAAAAAAGAAAAAGAAGCAGAAAGGGAAATGGAGAGAAGAGAAAATATTTGACTGGTCAATGTCTATCCAAAGCTTTAACTAACTCCCAACAGCTCCCTTTCCCACTCTTAACTTGGCTAGTCACTTTTTAAACAACTGTGGTTACATCCATTTTAATCTCTGTCATGACACTCTCCAGGAACAGGTGTATTTCCACCTGTTATAAAGTCCCCTCCATAACTTTATGATATGTATTTCTACAGTTACCATTTCTAGCTCTTGTCCTTCATTTTAATAAGGTACTTACATTTCTTCCAATTAAAAACAAAAATACCTTTCTTGACCTTATACATCCATTTTATTTTAGCCTTTACAGTCAGCAATTTTGAAAGTGTAATCTTGACTCCATTGTACTTCATCTCCAATTCTCTTACTAGCCCTCTGTTATGTGTCTCCATCATGCCACTACACTACACTACCTTAGCAAGGTCTCAATTTATAACTGACAAAGTCAAGAGACATTTTACACTACCTCCCTTTGGCATGTTGAAACAACAACCACAAATCCTCAAAATTTTCTACTTTTCTTTCAGAGTTATTACTCTCTTATCTGCAATATATTCCAATTTCTGTGTCCCTGGTTAAATAGACTTGTATATTATGGTATATATTTATCATGAACAGGATTTTTACAAAAATTTTAATGAAAGCAGAAGTATCCCCCAAATCTCGTTTCACACACCAGTTTGCTGGTTATGTGGGAACAAAGCATTTAAAAATAGTTAATAAACTTAAATATAAATTATACATTTTAAACAAAAACTCTAATATTCTAAATTTGCTCACCTTCTCTTTAAATGAAAGGAGGCTATATTACATTTTCTAGCAAATGTTAGAAAATCTTTTCTTCATGAGAAATAGATTTTGACAACAAATGTGAGAATGCTTTTTGAAAGGAACTCATAGAGAAAACATTTTGAAAAAAATGTTGATTATTGCCAAAAATAAATGATTTAGTAAAATTAATAAAATTCATTAAAACACTTACATATCAGCATACTTCAAAAAGTTGGAGAACAAACTTTAATCTGGTCTTAAATCTATCAAACAAAGAATTTAAGTAGGTTTTGAACCTGTTATAAACTTTTTTTCCCCTTTCATAGTTTCCCCCCCAACCCTGTCCTAAACTTTCAAAAATAAACTTTCCAATTAATTTATAGGAATAAATACCTGAGATCAGGAAGATGGCAATTACTAGCAGATTTCTACAAGAACCTCTGAACTATTAGGAGACAGTATTGAAAAAGTACCATGATTTAGTAAATAAAGCCAATGTTACACCTCTTTCATTTGGAACCACGTATCTTTAATGAGCTAGCTATCTTTTCAACTATAACAGCTATTAAAATAAAATATTCAAACAACTTCACCCAATTCCTTTATTACTACATATTTTAAATAACTATGTTTCACCTATGAGACTACAAGTTAGCTAAAAGTAGAGACTTCATCTTCTTTATCTTTGTAACCTAGAACTTTGACTATGTGACATACAGCAAATAGTTATGAAATATGCTATGTGAACGAATAATCAAAAATATGGGCAAGTACATCAAAATAAAAATATGTACACACATGCATATTTATGTAATAATGTAATAACTAGTTAGGTAAACAAATGTTACCTAAAATGGGTGTGGCCACAAATCAATGTTTGCACATCAATTTAATGATGTTTAATGGCTCAACTTGTAATTATGACTTTGTGTTTTTATAATTATGACTTCCTTAATTAGCATATGTTCTCATAAATGAAGATATCAGAGTTGTCCTACACAATATGTGAGAATATTTGCTTTCAAAGTGAATCATCAATGATAATAAAGAATATATAAAATCAACAAAAAATAAAGCAAAACCAATAGAAGAACTTTTTTCTGTAACACAATGAATAAAAGATCCCACACAAATGAAGTAGTGAAAGTATCAAAAATTAGACTTTCAAAATAACAAATGAGAAATAAACCCAAATAACATTATATTTAAGACTCAGTTAATATCCACTAATCTCATTAAGAATGTGATGGCTACTTTGCATTATTTTTACTGTGGTACAAATTTTCCTTTCATGCTATATTAAAACAAATTTCAACAATATCTCATGTAATTATTAATACAAATATTTCTCAATACTAAATTACACTCAGTCCTCTATGGTAGTTAAAGGGACCCACATTACAATTTTATTTGAAAAAAATTAGATGTACACACAAAATAATATTCTATTAGCATCTTTAATTCTAATTGAATCTTTAAAAGATAAAAATAAGGGAAATAAAAGAGAACAAAAGCTGTTCCCAAAAAAGAATTATGATCCCTCATGTATATGTAAGTGTGTATCTGCTGATATATCATAGTAAATTGTTAATAATTATAGGAATTTTTATATTAATTACATTCAGAAAAATTTTTTTCCTTATAAAATCTGAGATACAGAATAATTAAATGAAACTTAAACTGAATTTTGTGGATGACATCTATCCATCTTCTGTGCCCAAAATGTATCTAGGGTCTTTTTTCTAATGCATTGGAAGGGCCATATGGAACCACAGAATTGTAAATGTACAAAATGGAAGGTGTGTTAAATAAAGAGTATTTCTTTAACAAATGGTATCACTGTTTTTCTTTTTCAGAAACATTAAATATCCTGGGAAACTTTCTCCCTCATTCTCAGGTTTACAATAATCTTACTTATATAAGTTTGATGTTATCTAAAAATGTATCCACGTTCTATTGATTGTACTCTAATACTGCTTAAATAAGAAGAAAAAAGCAGCTATACTACTTCAAAGATCAAAAAATAAAATAAAATCAGCAAAGCCAAATTTAGAAGTCAAGCTTTCTCGCTGATACATACCTCCTGGAAATGCCATTCGCTAGACATTTATGGCTACAGGATTTGGAGGATAGGGGTGATGAAGTTGGGGATAAGTTGAGAGGGGCAATCAGACTGTTGATGATCTCCGTCAACTGTGCACTCTGCAAGAAAACAAGTAACCGTTTACTACTGCTAAGCAAGACATGCGAGTTAAGTCTCATACCTTTAGAACCTACTAAATGCTTGAATTTTCATGAAACAAGTAAATGCTCATATTTCAGTAAATATTTTAATTTACAGATGATTTCTACCACTACTAATTTTTCCATTTATTATAAGTAAGTCTCCATTTTAAAGTACTCCTTTACTATATCTGTTTTTGTTACAGATCATTTATCTACTTATCCTATCCCCTTAAAACATTTGAATTTAGCTAATTGCATCTACATAATATTTCCTTTGAGGCAGCCAAATTAATAATAACAAAATCATAGCTATAATTTATTAAATGCCTACTATATGCCAGGTACTATACAAAGGACTAAACATAGATTATTTCTAATCTTTACAATTAACCTGCAAAGTAATTAGTATTAGAACTGCTGACATTCCTATTATTACAATCAATTACAGCTGAGGAAATTGAATCTTTGAGCAAGGATTAGAAAGTTGGTAAGAAATGGAACTAGGATACAAATTCAGGCTTGAATCCAATTCCACACTGTTTCTCAATATTTTTCCTAATTAAAAAATATCAGGGTTTTTTTTAGGTACTCCGAACTTTCACTGACTCTTATACCACACTTAAATATACATAATGTATTTTTAATATGTAATAAATATTAAATTATTCTAAAACCATAACCTAAAACAATTACAATAAACACAGGCCACATCACAGGCTATCATCATTTCTATAAAAGAATGACAGGGTCGTCTGGGTGGCTCAGTCGGTTAAGTGTCCAACTTCAGCTCAGGTCATGATCTCACAGTTCGTGGGTTCAAGCCCCGCATCGGGCTCTGTGGTAACGGCTCGGAGCCTGGAGCCTGCTTCAGATTCTGTGTCCCCCTCTCTCTGACCCTCCCTTGCTCACACCGTCTCTCACTCTCTCAGCAATAAATAAAACATTTAAAAAAAAAAAAGAATGACAACTATTTTCATTACATATGTAATCTGTGCTTATTGTAGAAAAAAGGGAAAGTAAAGAGGGGCTTAAAAAGGGAAAAGAAAGTCACCTGCATTCATATTTCACAGAGGAAAAACACTGCTAATATCTTGGTATATATCCATCCCTCTGGACTAAGTTTTCTGAGTATATGTGTGCATATACAACATGCAAACATACACACACACACATACACAGAGTTCTAATTTAATCGTGTCACATTAATTTTCTAAAACCTGGTTTTCTCACTTACTAATGTATTATTTTATTTTTTTAAATATGTAGACCCATGTCACCATTTTTATTAACTGACAGATATTCCATTACAAAATAGAGGGGCATATAAAATAATTATTTTAAATTTTTCATTTGTATGAAACTAATGACATGCTTTTAGAAATAATGAGATTAAAGAATATGACAGAACTAAATCTAATATTTGAATTCTTCAAAAAATCTCTGAAAAAGACCCTGAAGTGTTTTTACCATTTATTTTCTTAAAAAGTAATACATACCTAATGACTTCATTTTAAAAATTAGCCCTCGTTTTTCAATTAAAGCTCATTTTCAAAATCAATACAAATATTCTTTATCCACTTGGTAAGCACTCGTGAGTTTAATCATATAAAGAAAATTATAAAGTATCCCATATTTTTCAGTCCAAAACACTGATACACTCTTCTCATTGTTCCACTGCCAAAAATATCATTAAAAATCTTCTAAGCTCCTGGAGGTAACCGGTTAGTTATGTGTGAATAATTGGCTCAGAAGAATAGCATAACAACCAACTCAATCCAGCCCAAGAAAACCACAAATATCTGAGTCCATGTTTGGGATAGGAAATTCATAATAAAAATGAGAAAAAAGTAAAATTAAGAGAGGCATAATTTAAACTCTGAAAATAAAAACTAACCAATTCAAAGTTAAAACATTTACTAGCTATTAAATAACAGGATTTTTAATGTAATTACACCAGTCTGAAATTTATTTTAAATTACCTAAAATTCTAAAATAAAGTTACCTTTTATGAATAAAACACATTATCTAATAATGCAAGTATACATTAATACTATAGAACAATGAGTTATTCATATCAGTGTACAACTTAATAGTGCTTTTGTATTTTAATTGCTAACTCTTTCACTGTTGTGAGATACATAAATTTTGTTTGAGGAAACAAACATTTCTCTAATAAAATTAATTCAAGTAAGTCATCAATACCTGATCTATATTCAAGGTCCACTATGGTCAACAAACAGTTATATACCAACAGGTTATCTGAAGAAAAACGTGTGTAGTGTCAGGGTTGCCAGGCCTGCCACTTAATTCTCAACCCTCTTCAGCAGCATTTGAAAACCATATTTTTAATTGGCCTATGAAAACATGATTAGCATATCTTTGGAGAGCAAATGACCTGTTCATAGGCAATTTGCAAATCACCCCTACAAGAGATTGCTGCTATCACTTTCTGTATCCTTTGGCTCCTCTACTCTCCCTATACCTAAAGCCATTACCATTGTTGTCACAACTCCTGATCCCCTTCTCTTCCAAAGCCTCTGGCACTCCTGTCAACAATGGGACCAAAAGTAAACGTGATGCCCGGGGTCAACTTCATGGGTGAGCAACCTGAGCAGTCACACAGGGCTGCACTCAGAAGGCTCCCATGCTTGCTTAATGCTTTGCTGTTACTGACTTAAAACTCTTCACAATTGCTTTTAATAAAGAGCTATGTAATTTCATTTCACACTGGATCCTGTAAATTAGCCCATTCTGATATTAACTCAGGTCTAACAAAACAAATTGGTGCTAAGGAGAAAGAAAAAATATAATAAAATCTCTTTTCAAAGGATAAATAATGACCTTAAGGATTAAAAAAAAAAAAATAGAAGACCTGACTGTCAAGCAAATACATTATTCTGGAGTGAGAAATAATTATGGCCAAACTGAAAGGGCAGTGATCCTATGGGATGAGGAGAAAAAAAGAGAGAAGTGGAAACATAACCAACACTATTGAAAACACCACCAATATGGTAAAGTTCATTCCAATTTAATATCAAATGACCAGAAAATAACTTTCTGAATTACAAAATATAAAAGTATTTTGATTATGCAATTATGCAATTAAGGAAAACTCCAGGCAACTGTAAATTTAACAAATATAGGGGGAGAGGCATTGCGCCATACCCTGACTTACAGGAAATAAAATAGGAGTAACCTAATACTAAATTATTTCACAGTATTATGTCAGAATAACCTAGAAAAATTAGATGTGGGCCGGTATGAATCCATATACCCACTAGAACAAGGTAATCATGCAGCTGTGATCCCAACTGGGTATTCAGCAGATTCGGATTGGCTGCAAGTTAACAGACTCCTAGAAAGTCAGATTTATTCAAAAGCCACCAAAGTCTAAATAAAAATAAATGGTATGGTTTCAAAGATAGATACAGGGCAGAATAATAAGATTTCTAGAGTCAACCATAATAGAATTTAATTATCAGAAAAGGCTTTAACTTTTTGTTTTTAATGGTGACTTATTTTTGAGACAGAGAGAGACTGAGCTTGAGGCAGGGAGAGGCAGAGACAGAGGGAGACACAGAATCTGAAGAAGGCTCTAGGTTCTGAGCTGTCAGCACAGAGCCCAACGTGGGGTTCAAACCCACAAACTGTGAGATCATGATCTGAAGTCGGAAGCTTAACCAACTGAGCCACCCAGGCGCCCCAAGAAAGGCTTTAGAATCAAAGTAATTTGTTAGGGACTAGTTTGCCATTTATTTACATGACCCTTTTTTTTTTTTTAATAAATAGTTTATTGTTAAGTTGGTTTCCATATAACACCCAGTGCTCATTCCCACAAGTGCCCTCCTCCATGCCCATCATACACCTTCACCTCCCCCCACCCCATCTGCTCTCAATTTGTTCTCGGCATTCAAGAGTCTCTCATGGTTTGCCTCCCTCCCTCTCCCCCAGTATTTTTCCCCTTCTTCTCCCCCATGGTCCTCCATTAAGTTCCTCCTAATCCCCCTATATATGCAAACATATGATATCTGTCCTTCTCTGCCTGACTTATTTCGCTCAGCATAACACCCTGAAGTTCCATCCATGTTGCTACACATGGCCAGATTTCATTCTTTCTCACTGCCATGTAGTACATGACCTTTTTTTAATGGAAGAATTCATATTCTGGTAATTTTCATTAAAACACTCTATCAATAAATTGATCAAACAACCATTCAGATCTATTAAGTGGTATCACTCTTCTTTTCCCTTGGAAAAAAAAGTCCAATGATGGGCAATTTTGTTAGAAAAATGATTTTCCAATCCTTGCATAAATGAGTTATCATCCTATGGCTATGTACTAATACTTTACATACAATATGTAAATAATCTTAATTCTATCAATATTGTAAGAGAGACTAGTCAGATATTAAATATTTTAATTGTATTTAATGTCAAATGGCAAATTTTAATAACCAATATCCCAAGCATACAGAGTTTATTTGAAGAGTTCATAACGTTGATTAAAAGTCATTTCATGCCACTGCCATCTTACTCTTACTTCACATTACCTGTTTTTCTATGTTGCGAAGAAGAAGTGTAGGGCTACTTGGTGACATTTCAAAATCTTGTTCTGGCAAAGGATCTTGACTCTCTTGGGGAATCTGGGGATTCCCTGTCATATTTAATGAAGCCGCTTGGTCAGCAAACTGTATTTGTTTTTTCAGAATGTCTTTTGGAAGCTGACATTCTTCCAGGATCACTATCCCCTAGACAAACAACAATTACAGAGATGAAATGAAAACAAATTGACTGCTAAATCAACTTTAATTTTACAAAGAACATGAAACCATGCTTCTCATTACTGCTTAGAAATCAGAAAGCACACTTCAAAGTACAGTCTAACTGTAAAAACTTGGCTGATTTAAAAAATGTGTGGCTAAATAACATGTATGTCTTAAGGGTTAGGTTTGTGATATTGTCATAAATTGTATATATACAATTGTTTTTCTTCTTATTGGTTTTAGTTATTAGCACTAAAAAGCATGGCACATTTAAAAATAAAGGCTTATATGTACAGTATTAATACCTCACACTGAAATTTGGAACACTTCCTGAGACAATCTTCGAGTATTTTAGTCACTAGCGTTTCCATTTGAGTTTTATATTTGAGTACTCCAAGTTTCATAAATTAAAATACCCAACTTACAAACATCCAGATAATATTCTGACCGTACCAACTTCTTTCCGAGCACTCTAAGGAGTTCCGACTTTGCTGCTGCCAGCCAGCAACAAAGGGCAGGACTGCACTATTGAGAAAAAGTAATCCAGGCCAAACTGTTGCTTACTAGGTAGATGAATGAATAATAATGACACAAGTTTTCAACTGTGATGTGGCATTTCTGAAATGTAAGTAACTAGAAAAAAGAGTAGGGATCTAGCTGCCTCAGTCCTCCCTGCCTACCATTCACACATGCACATAAACTTACTCACAAATGGCTTGCTAAATATTCTCCCATATTCCCCAGATTCTTCACTCCAACTGTTCTCACCCTTAGGGCCCTCAATGGCAATGAAGACAGAAGAGAAAGGGGGGAAACGAATGCACAGATATGATCTTAACAGTTTCATAATCAGTTCTTACTGTAAAACTTTTTCCCTCCCTACCACTTCTACCATATCCCCCCCTGCAAAGAATAATATATATTTTCACATAATGTATAAATGTGTGTGTGTATATATATATATAAAATGTATGTATATATGGTTGTATATATGTATACACATATATATATGTATAATGGTTGTGTGTGTATACACACACACACACACACACACACACACACACACACAGAGTTGTTTTGCAAAATGCCAAGAAGCTCTTAATAGGCTAGTTAGAAAAGCATTAAATGACTATGTGGCTAAAATATTATATTCTTGTAATATAAAGTCAACTGAAACACTATTATAAGTGTATGATATTTCACGATGGAAATTTTAAAAATGTATAGGCTAGCTTATATAATGTATAAGTGCTATTTATAGGATGGAAACAGCCTATAAATTAAAATGTTACTAGTTATTATTTACACCATAATTTGGAGAATATATCACTTTAGCATAAACATATTCAGGTATCAAATATACATTTTATTATTTTGTAGTAATATATTACCACTGATGTGTAGTAAAATAACAAATAAGTTATTTCTTTTTAAACTATACTTCTAACAGTGCTAGTAGCTTTTATAAAGAGAAGGAGATCCAATTGTTAATCCTATCTCAATAACTATTTTCCTAGAATGCACAGATATGGCTATCAAGAAATCTGAACAAATACATTTTTTAAAAATTTTTGTTTCATTTGTTATTTTTCAAGTTAAAGTACACTAGATATAGTATCATCAATCTCAAAAGCTCTTGACTGAAAGTATCTGAAATGTCCATTCAAAATCTGTAAAAGTGTCTCACTAGATTTTTCAATAGTATCTGCTTGCAAAATAAATACAACTTTTCATCATATAAATTTAGCTATAATTCCCATTGGTTTGATTATTTTATGAGTCAGGCTGCTGTGTACTATCCTGTTTTTATAACCCTTACTAATAATCTTGTACATATGGAAAAACTGATCCTGAATTTCAAAAGGTCAATTTTCAAACCTTTAGAATACTATCTTATTAGAAGTAGGGAACTTGCTACATTTAGTTTAATGAAAAGTAGTATTTTAAAAATTCAACCAGGTAGACCTCTGTAATCAAGTTCATAACCTATTTTTTTTTCCCTTAAACTGTTGCCCTGGACAAAGCTGTCACAATGGCTGAGAATAGAGTAAAAAGGGAAGAAGATTAAATCCCTTGAAGACATTACAGATATAGTTTCAGTTCTTAAAAATCAAGAAAAGAATACATGTGTGTTGGGTCACCATGATGTACACTTAAATACCTTAAAATTTTATTTGTCAATCATACCTGAATAAAGCTGAATTTAAAAAAAAAAAACTTCAGAAATGAACAGTCTAACCATAGAGAAAACAAGGTACATAATAAAAATATGAAAATGTTTTAGTAAGATGAATTGCAATAACTGAGACCCATAAAAACTTTAGCATCAGGTGAAAGCAAGTCAACTGCTCCAGACAAGACAACTATTCCCAATACGAACACTAAAGAGCTCTGTACCCAGCTCCTAGGTTTAGTGAAAAAAACCATTGCTTCAACAACATCATGAGTATTTACATAAAGTCACCAGGCTAAGTTTTTTTAAAATTTTTAAGTGAAGAATTTTAAATACACAAAATTACAATTTAAAATATAGGTAACAAACAAAATCTAAAAGAGAAAACATTTAATACAGGATAACCAGCTTCTCAATCAAGAAAAATTATTTTAATGTTTTTCTGAAAGTGATGAGAAGCAACTATCTTAATGAAAGCTGAAGCAAATATGTAAGGAGAAAGATGAAAGTTGTAATGTGTTGACAAAGTGTTGGAAGAACAAGGAAGGAATGTTGCTAACACGTGCTTTCTTCTAAGATTTTAAGCAAAAGTTAGACTACCCAAGTGTGTTAAAGAAGGGGGATATGACAGCTTAAAGGCCTAAAATGTTTAGATCTACTAGTAGATCTACTCAGTGTTTCCTGACCAGTGTTATCAACTAGCACTTATTTAAACAGGATATTTACAAAAGAACATCTCTAGATCTCTTTCCCTTCCCCTTATCTCTAATTTAACTAAGAAAGTTTTTTTTTAACTTTCAAGATAAGTTAAATAGAAAGTTCGTTCAAGATAACTTAACCACATGCTTCTCAATTTTTTAATTATAGTAACTCAAGAAGCCTGAGAAGCAAAGAAAGAGCGGTTTTCTCTATTTAGAATAATAGTTCCACTATGCTACACATAAATAGGCAACTAAACACCTTGATTAATTCCCAAAAAATGTAAGAAGAAACTATTAAAATAAAGAAATATTATAATAACTTTTCCATAAAGTAAACATAATGTGATCTTTAAGAAAACAAAGGGCCAGAAACACATCTAGCCTGATCTAAGAAAAATATAATTAGTGGGAAGTTTAGATTTCTTTCCTAAAAATAATTTATCCCAATAGATGATATAATCAAACTTTTAAAAATGTTTAAAGAATATAGCGACGTTTAGAACACAGAGAATATTAAAATACCCTTCTCAAGTCATAAAATATGAACCACACTATGTAGATTCAAGTATAAAACTTACTCATCAATTTTACTAGGAATCCACTTTCTTGGAAATTTCCAAATTGTTTTAAACTTGACTTGTTCTGAGAACTCTATTTACTGTAAAAATGCTTGTGATATTATCTCCTTTAAAGAAAATGATCAGAGGATAAATTATCTGGTAATCTAAAAGAAGTGGGAAATAACTGAGGGCTTCAGTGAAGACAGTTAAAAATAAGAAACGTAATGACTTCCACCAGGAAACAATTCTTGAATACAGTTCTCTCAAATCCAACAAACAGAACCAATAAGCTTAAGGGTTTAATGTCTATTCTCCTATCCACCTTCCTATAGACAATCACCAACAAATTCTACAAGTCATTAAATAATATTCATTCATTCATTCCTAGCTTCCTCTCCCATCCTTGCACAACTTATACTTTCTGCTCCTTTGAATTACCATTCTGTTTTGTAAATTCTAAAACATATGTTGTCTTATGCCATCTAACTTTTAAGGAATGCCTTTTTCCAGTTCCATTGGTTCAAGCAGACTATTATTTATCCTCCAAAACCATACTGAGGCATCACCTCTTTGCTGATGTTTTCCCTGACCTGCTAACCCCTAAAATAAGACTTATGTATTCCCACTATGGCACTTTTATGCCTTATTAAAAACTGTATCAGTGCACATATTACCTTATATTGCAATTAAATATTTATATGGTCTCTCTCCTCTACCAGAATATAAACTCATTATAGTACCTAAAACTTACTAATCTTTATTTACATGCAGACCCCCGGTAGTGTTGGGCTAACCACATGAGTAAACATGTGGTTAAGAACTCTAATTCCTTTTCTTCTCAGCTTTTTCTTTTCAGACTAATCACCATCAACCTTAAATATTATCTCCATTATGTCCACAATTTCACTATGTAGAATACAGTTTCCCATAAAAACAAAGTTACAAAGAAGATATTTAGCAATATTTAATTTAATTACTACTTGATGGGACTGTATGAAAACTCTTCATATTATTGCTTCAATGGGAAGATATACTTTGGGTTCCAAGCAAAAGCCTCTAATTTTGAGGGAAAAATATGTCTTTAAGCTAGGAAAATCTCATGTTAAATTTCCTCTGGTTGGAATTAACATTTATTTGTGTAATCATTTGCATAATTTCACCCCCATTTGACTTAAACCCTAAAAACTTAAGAAATCTGTGGGTTGTGTTCACCACTATATACCTTATGCACACACTATGCTAATAAGTGTATGTGAAAGGAAAGATGGGAAAGAATTAAGGCAGAAAGCAGGCAGAAACAAATGACAGGATGGAGAGGTGAATGAATTTTATTTAAAAATTGATACAGGTACACCTGGGTGGCTCCGTCTGTTATGCATCCAACTTTGGCTCAGCTCATGCTCTCATGGTTCTTGGGTTCAAGCCCCACATCAGGTTCTCTGCTGTCAACGCAGAGCCTGCTTTGGATCCTCTTCCCCCATCTCCCTCTCCCCCTCCCTCACTTGTTCTCTCTCTCTTTCTCTTTCTCAAAAATAAACATTAAAAAATAATTTAAAACAGAATTTAAAAAAACAAAAAATAAAAACTGATACAATATAATAACTTTAACTGCCATTTCTACTGAAATAACTCCAAATCTGTATCTTCTTATAAACCTGACTCTTCCAATAACTCATACTTCCAACTCTTTCAGGATTATCTCAACATGAGTTATCTGATAGAACTTTAAAGTCAATGTGTGAGAAAGCTTATTTTTACCAACTTTTCTGTAAAATAAGCATTTTTCTCCCACAACTAATGGGGGAGAGATAATGGTGATGGTTATACAATTATCTATTTGTCAAAACTGAGTGAACTGCTAAAAATGTGTCTTCTGAGAACAGATAAACAAAATAAAAATAAATCCATAATAGGCACCTATTAGTAAAAACATGTAGAACATCAAATTAAAAAAAAATTAAGTTACCAGATCGACTGCTCATCAGTATTAAAGAAAACTATGAAATAGGATCTTTAAAGGGCTAAGGGAAAAGAACCATTAAATTAGAATTTTGTATCAATCTAGGGGCGCCTGGGTGGCTTAGTCGGTTAAGCGTCCGACTTTCGCTTAGGTCATGATCTCGCGGTTCGTGGGTTCAGGCCCCGCGTCGGGCTCTGTGCTGACTGCCAGCTCAGAGCCTGCAGCCTGTTTCAGAGTCTGTATCTCCCTCTCTCTCTGATCCTCCCCTGCTCATGCTGTCTCTCTCTCTCTCTCCTAGAAATAAATTTTAAAAAAATATTAAAAAAAAAAAGAATGTTGTATCAATCTAAAGTATCATTGAAGAGTGAGGGTAAAATAAAGGCATTTTGAGACAGAAACCATCATAGAATGTATCTCAGCAAAATGTAAACTGAGAGAAAAGGTAATGTAGCAGAGACTAGAACAATCTGTATCAAATTTCCTCTTCTTTTTAAAACAAAACTCCACTCCTACTGGATTTTTAGCTATGCCTACAACTTCTTGTTGTAACAATGTGCTGTTTACCTTTCCCTGCTATATATGTCTAGCTGCAGCCATGTGCCTAAATCTAGGCCAATGAATGTGAGACAAAGTAGTGCAATTTCCAAGTCACCTCCAACTTACTTCTCACTTCTCAAGGGCCAGAATGAGGAGATGACCACAGCCCTGTTTAACAGTGCAGTCAACATTACTTTAGAGAAAGGGCTCCTGGGTGGCTCAGCTGGTTAAGCGTCCGACTTCAGCTCAGATCATGATCTCATGGTTCGTGGGTTCGAGCCCAGCGTCGGGCTTTGTGCTGATAGCTTGCTCAGAGCCTGGAGCTTGTTTCAGATTCTCTATCTCCCTCTCTCTCTCTCTCTGACCCTCCCCTGCTCATGCTCGTTCGCTCTCTCTCTCTCTCTCAAAAATAAATAAAAGAACATTAAGAAAAAAAAAACATTACTCTATAGGATAGCAGAGCAGCAAGATAGAAAAGACCAAGCTGTTCCATCAGCCTGTATTCACTCCCTCATTTTTGAAGTGTTATGTACCTTTATAAAGCTGCAATATTCTGAGTTTCTTTGCTACTGCAGCTTAATCTATAAATGAGCTTTATAGGTACAACAAAAAGAAAAGTAAGCATATTTTAATAAAATTAGTTAGAAATATAATTAATTACTGACTGTAAAAAAATCAACTATATTGGAGTAGATATACGCAATGAGTAGTTAAATAATACATTAGAATCTACGTTTTAAGTGAAAATATGTATACCAAGAACTTTTAGTCATTGTTAGGATTATTTATAGTTAAGAAGGATGTTAGGGGTGCCTGGGTGGCTTAGTCAGTTGAGCGTCCGACTTTCACTTAGGTCATGATCTCGTGGTTCGTGGGTTCAAGCCCCGCGTTGGGCTCTGTGCTGACTGCCAGCTCAGAGCCTGGAGCCTATTTCAGAGTCTGTGTCTCCCTCTCTCTCTGACCCTCCCCTGCTCATGCTGTCTCTCTCTCTCTCTCCTAGAAATAAAAATATTAAAAAAAAAAAAAAGAAGGATGTTAAAAATTAAGAGTAATGACAAAGAATAAAACTATACTGAATAGCTTCTAAACCAGCAGACGGAAAAGAAAGGAATGAAGCAAATTCTACCAATCCAACAAGAGAGGTAAAAAAACAAGACACAAGGTGTCTTGAACCTTGGTAGCTAAGTCAGTTGAAAGCCCAACTCTTGATTTCAGTTTAGGTCAGGATCTCCCAGTTCGTGGGTTCAAGCCCTTAGTAGGGCTCGTGCTGACAGCTGACAGTGCAGAGCCTGCTTAGGATTCTCTGTCCCCTCTCTCTCTGCCCTTTCCCGCCTGGCACACATGCTCTCATGGGCTCTCTTTCTCTCAGTGTAAATAAACTTAAAAAAAAAAAATCCTAAATACAAAGAGAGGAGAATAAGTGTAAATAAAAAATAAAAGCCAATCAGAGTAGTTTGTTTTGGTTTGGTTTTAATTTTTTTAAGGATTTATTTATTTTTGAGAGAGACAGACAGTCTGAGTGTGAGCTGGGGAGGGGCAGAGAGAAAGGAAGACACAGAATCCGAAGCAGGCTTCAGGCTCTGAGATGTCAGCACAGAGCCCTACTCTGGGTCCAAACTCATGAACCATGAGATTACGAACTAAGGCAAAGTTGGCCACTTAACCGACTGAGCCACTCAGGCACTCCCAGAGTCAATTTTTTAATCTAGCTACTTATAGTTTATAAAAAGAAACACCTAGAATTATCAAAAATCTGTATCTACCAAGCAGCATTACTTCAAAATGTAAGAAGCAAAAACAATTACCAGACGAAAGTGAAAAATTCACAATGAAATATTTTAACAAATATGTATCATTAATGGAAAGATCTAGAGGTATAAAGATATGGCAGATATATAAAGTCAATTTAATAAACATTCTATAATGAACACATAAAGAACATGAATTCTTTTCTATTATATAAATTAAAATAATGAAAAAAATGCTACAACATGAAAAATTTGTAATATTTATAACTGACCACAAATAGTCTCCAAAATTTAAAAATAATTCACAAACACACACCTCTATCACCCATCCCCCCAAAAAAGTGAATACAAAAAATAATTAAATCTTAGACAAAAAACATTTGATAGTCAATTATACTGAGGCCAAATTTTCTATACTAAGGAACAATTAGATTAATGCGGTAATAAAATTTCATATTAATTACACTGGAAAAATTTAGAGGTCAAAAATTACCAAATGTTGGCAAGAATGTGAAGAAACAGGAGGTCTCATGCACTGTCACTGGGAAAATTAATTATCCAATCACATCAGTAAGTATAGGAAAGCTGAAGATTGCCAGGCCTAAGATCCAGTATTTCCACTTTTAGGCATATACCAAGAACCCTTTTTTGTTCACACACACACACCCCACATAGAAGATAGTCATTACAGTATTGTTTTTACTGGCATAAAACTAAATAATGTGTATGTCTATCAACAGAAAATAGAAGAGATAAAACATTCCATTGTATTCATACAAGTCCATGCCATTCATACAATTAAATAACATACAGGATCTATAAAATGTATAAAATTTGTGCTGAGCAAAAACAAGCAGATCACAAAAGAGTTTGTAGTACATATATCATTTTTAAAAATATTTTTTTTAATGCTTTATTTATTTCTGAGAGAGAGAGAGAGAGACTGCATGAGCAGGGGAGAGTCAGAGAGAGAGAGACACAGAATCCGAAACAGATTCCAGACTCTGAGCTAACCGTCAGCACAGAGCCTGATATGGGGCTCGAACCCACGAACCGTGAGATCACGACCTGAGCCAAAGTCGGATGCTTAACCGACTAAGCCACCAAGGCACCCCTATATGTCATTTATATAGACTTTAAAAATGGAAAAATATGGGGTGCCTGGGTGGCTCAGTCAGTTAAGCGTCTGACTTAGGCTCAGGTCATGATCTTGTGGTTCATGAGTTGGAGCCCTGTGTTGGTCTCTGTGCTGACAGCTCAGAGCCTGGAACATGCTTCGGATTCTGTGTCTCCCTCTCTCTCTGACCCTCCCCTGCTTGTGCACTCGCGTGTTCTTTCTCTCTCTCTCTCTCATAAATAAACAAAATTCTTAAAAAGTAAATTAAAAATTTTTTAAACATGGAAAAATAAATAGTTGTAGACACAGACATCTATGTGCCAATAGTATAAAAACATACACAGAAATAATAAATTACAAAACATGTTGGAGTCAAAATATTGGCTACAGTGGCATGGGGAAAGAGAATGGGATCAGGAAGGACTATAAAAGTACCTCAACTGAACAAGTATCACTAAGTAGCTGAACTGCTCAAGTATGATGAAATCATCACAATAAATAAAAAGGCATAGTAATAGCTTCACCTTATAGCAACTGATATATCAAAAATGTTAATATTAACTGCATTTTTATAAAGCCTTGTAACAATTACTTTGTGTTGAAAGATGAGAAACTAAAACAGTAATAATATTTTTAAAATACAAGAATACAGGCAATACCTTGGAGGCACGAATCTGCCTGTGAACATCCGTTAGTTGTTGGATTTTGTATTCTAGCTCTGAGATCTGGGCTTGAAGCCATGTCCATCGGCTGCCAACTCTTGCTCTGTCTACAAGCCACTTCCATTCAGTACTACAGTTACTGTGAATAAGACAAACACTGTTAGTCAACGCACAAAGGCAATCAAATTTTAACAGACTAAATAAATTCCTTGACTCCTGTCATATAATCCCAAATTTCTTTATAAAACATCTAATTACATGCAAGAATCACATATCAACTTATCAAAGAAAAAGCTTTAACTTCCTTATCTTTCTATCCCAACAAATGCTTGCTTCTATTATTACATATCCAGTAATAAGATGATCTCTTCTGCTACTTAACACTTCATTAACGCACAAGGGCTGAAATCAGAGTGGGCCAGCAAAAGAAAGGAAACAGGAATGATACTAACATCACATAAAAACTTACATGAAGCTTTTATATGTAAGCAGAAGTACTGGAAGTACAGTCATTTGAACTGTGCTAGATCTAAATCTATGTAACAAATGTAACCAACCACAGTACTCAGTTTTATTATACTCAATTTCCACTTGCTAAAACAGTAGTCACTGTTAGTTAAATACCTAAACTCAATTTAAATATATTGTCAAAAATTACCAATTTTTGGCTTGCCCTTCCAATAAGCCTATCAAATATATGGGTCCTGAGATGTTTATTAAGGTTAACATATTAAAACCTGATTCCCAGAGACCAAAGATAATAAAGAGTTTATATAAAAGGGGCACTTGGGTGGCTCAGTCAGTTAAGCGTCCAACTCTTGGTTTCGGCTCAGGTTGTGCTTGAGTCCTGCATCAGTCTCTAAGCTGGAAGTGTGGATTCTGCTTGGAATTCTCTCTTCCCTTTCTCTCTCCTCCTCCCTCACTCCCTCTCGCTCTCAAAAATAAATATATAAGCATTTTTCAAAAAAGAATTTATATAAAGACTTTCCTTCAGGCATATTTGAAAATAAAGGTTGAACCTTAGCTCCTCTACCATTTAGCAAGGACAATGACCTAATCCATAGTTTGTGTGATTACAATTAATTACCTTTATGAAAATATTCCAACTAGAAAACAATTATTTGCGATTACTTAGAATTAGGAGTTTCAGATTGCAAAGGAAAACATGACAGAAATTGAAGATATAAATGAAAAGCAATAATAATGGCAGAATACAAACTTTATGAAAAATTGTTTAACAATTACATTTACAGTCAAAATTCACAGAATGTACAACACTAAGAGTGAAGCCTAACATAAAGTAGAGAATTAACTGATAACAATTTGTTCATGTAGGTTCATAGACTGTTACAAATGAACTACTCTTATTTGTAGTGTATTGATAGTTGGGGGAGGTTCTATCAGTGTAGGGACAGGGTGTATATGGGAACTATCTATATTTTCTGCTCGAATTTGCTGTGAACCTAAAACTGCTCTAAGAAAATAAAGTTTATTAATTTTTACATACTTAACCTTAATTGAATTGAATATCTTCCATAGAAACTTTAACCAGAGTAAATATTTCTAATAAAGATCATTTGTTGGGGCACCTGGCTGGCTTGGTTGGTTGGTAAAATATGCTACTCTTGATCTCAGCGTTGTGAGTTTGAGCCTCATGGTGAGTGTGGAGATTATTTAAAAATAATAATAAAAATAAAATTAAATAAATAAGAGATTTTTTGTTGTGATGAGCATGTTATATGTAAGTGCTAAATCACTAAACTGTATATCTGAAACTAATATTACACTGTATGGAAACTAACTGGAATTTAAATAAAAACTTTAAAAAAGGGGCACCTAGATGGCTCAGTTGGTTAGGTGTCTAACTATTGGTTTCAGCTCAGGTCATAATCTCACAGTTGATGAGTTTGGGCCCGGCACTGGGTTCCTTGCGAACAACGCAGAGTCTGCTTGGGACTCTTTCTCTCCCTCTCCCTCTGCCCCCCGCCCCCCGCACTCACTCTCAGTCTCTCTCAAAATAAATAAATAAACTAAAAACAAAAAATAACTTAAAAATATATCATTTGTTGTCAGAGAAGCAATACAATTATAACTTTACTACACAGAATATTTTCATTATAACAGGATTTTACATTAAATCAATGTACCTAATGAGCTATTTTTGTTAAGATTCTAACTGCATACAATATGATTGAAGAGAACTTCATATAAGCTAGGAATTCTCTTGGTATGATTATTTATAAAGTTTGTAGTCATTATTTTGCTTCTGTAAATGACACCCTTTAAAATCATATTTTCCTAATTATGAAAATAATAAAAGAATGTCTACTCAATATAATATTAATATAGAGGGGCACCTGGCTGGTTCAGTTGGAGGATCATGTGATGTTTGATCTTGGGTCATGAGATCGACCCCCTATATATCGAAGTATATAGGTTGTGCGAGGATATTACAAAGGTCAGCAAATTGACAAAGTAGTCCAGGTTTACAGGAAGAAATACATCATCTACATTGAGTGAGTACAGTGAGAGAAGGCAAATGGCATATCTTTCCATGTGAACATCATTCTAGCAAGGTGGTTATCACTACACTAAAACTGGACAAAGACCACAAAAAAAAAAAAAAATCCTCGAACATAAAGCCAAATCTCGCCAAGTAGGAAACAAAAAGGGCAAATTATAAAGAAGCAGCAATTGAGAAGATACAGAAATAAAGCAATCTTATATACAACTTTAAATAAAAACTCTTAAAACGTAAAAAATGTAAATAGATATGAATATCTATTATTCATAGATAATACTTAATAACTAATTGCCAATCACGAAATTAGTGAGAAAAGCAAGGGCCATGGCATGTAGCAATTGTACAGGTAATTGTAAAGTGTTGAATTTTATGAAAAAAGGAAGTTATTAGCAAGGCAGTAACAAATATTTTTTTCCCCTAAGCACTTTGGCTACTAGGTAGAGAAAGCATGATAGTGGAGTATGAGAGGTCATAAAGAAATCAATTAGATGCAACTGTAGTAATCTGTGTGTGGTATGGATAACTGTGATCTCCAAATACTGCACTTAGGTTGGAGCCATGTAACTAGTTTTGACCAATGGGGTGCGAGCAAAAGTGATATAGTCATTTCTAGTCCAACAGACGACCTTCAAATCCACTATCGCAGACAGTATAGCTATAAGATGTGGGAGGATCACACCCACATAGGTTACTCTAGAGCTTATGCTGACTAAAATACTGAATAAAAAATGAAAATGGCATGAACTAAGAAGGGAATGGAAGATAAAGAAGAGATGAAGATAGGAGGATGGGTTCAAGGTTCATTTTAAAGTTGAAAGGACTTGCAGAGTATGGTTTGGGAATAAGCATGGGGAACTCAAAGACAATCCTTCATTAAATTTAGTTCCAGTTGGAAATTTCCTTATAACACACAATTTTGCTTGGTTGTCAAACTCATGATTAGCTAAAAAAGAAAAAATATATATATATGGAATTCATGTTACTGTACTTTCAGTAAAAACATTCTGATAGTGAAATTGTTTATAAAAATTATGTTCTTCAGATGTTCTGTCCCCCTCTCTCTCTGCCCCTCCAACTTTTGAATGCTCTCTCTCTCTTTCAAAAATAAACATTAAAAAATTATGTTCATGTTCAGACACTATATTAAATTATACAAACACATAAAAAATAGTAATATCAGATCAAGTTTAAGTAAACTGAATACTCCTGGGATTTGTAATATGTGAAATGAATTTTCTGTAAAAGATAACTTATCCTTTTTTTTGAAAGTCAATCAAGTTCTATAGAAAAAAACACAATAATTTATCCAAAAGCTTATGCCAGTAGTCAAAATGGGGGATACGATTTATGGCAAATTTCAAGTGAACTAGAATTAAGTATGAGATTATCAGCTTATGTGATGACTGATCACATATAACCACATTGAAATAATACAGAGATCCATGGGTTTAGATGCACATTATGGAAATAGATACCTCATCCTCTATTTTAATAGGACTGAATAAAATCTATTTGCTATGGTTAAAAATGGCAAACAAGCTTTACCACCAAAAATGTTCCCTTGTTTAAAAACATTTCTGTCTAAAAAGTAATTATGGTTGTAAACATGTTACAGATAAGCACATGGCTATTTCACTCAAAGAAGATTAACACGTGTTATATCTCAAAATCAAGACATGTCTTATGTAAACAACTTATACGACCAATGATTTAACAGCTAAAACTTAGGACGTAAGTAGTGAAAACACAGCTGCTGCAAGAAAACCCAGGAAGAATATGTGCATACCAAGTGTCTACTCTTCCCAATCAGCATATAAACCTGTCCTGCCAGACCACTAAGAACACTGACTCCCTGCACTGAGTTGAACAAATCACAGACCACCACATGCTGATTATAAGGTGGGGCTCCTACTTCCAGTGACAATCAGGGCAAAGACATCTGTGAGTGGAGACCGCCAGAGGAGTGAGTGAAGCTAGTCAGTCCCCAGGAAGGTAGCCCAGTCCGTCAGTCCCCAACCTTGCTTATTTGCAGTCACCACTTAACTTGCTGAATAAAATAAATGCAAGCTACTTAGATCAAGTGGTTTTGAGTACAATTTCTCTTGATACTAACTTCTTGTTGACATCATGAACTTACATACCTGTTCTGACCTTGAAGTGTAGTTCTCAGAATAAGACAGAGCTTTCTAATATTACATCTTACAATACGAAGATTAAAAGAGAGACTTATGTTACTTCTGTTTTAACATAAAGATTTTGTTAGCTTACTGATAACAATGATAAAAACTATGATAAAAAATCAAAAAAGAAGATCCAATTGTGAAAAGCGCCAATCCTAAGAAAAATAAGGTTTATCCTGGGAAAAATATATTAAATTAGGGTAAACTTCTATACTGGTGTTTGCTCACCCAGGAAGAGCTTATCTTTCCCTGGAATTTGATTCCTTTAGATCACGGTTTGGCAAACATTTCCTATAAGGAGACAGACAGTAAATATTTTAGTCTTTGTAGGCCATGTGGTCTCTTTAATAACTACTCAACTCTGCCATTATAGCATATGTGCAGCCAAAAATGAATGGGTGTGATGGTGTTCCAATAAAACTGTTCATAAAAATA